CCCCTTCCCCCTCCCCCTCCCCAGAAGCCACATTTCCCTGTACAGCACACAGCCACCGTCCTTCCTTCCAACCCCTTTGCACCACACTGAGCGCTTTCTTGTTCTCAACTCATCTGGGACCAGGTCTTGTGTGGCTTTCCATGCCGGCAGGGGGCACCCCAAGGGCTGGCACCCGGGTCCTTCTGGTTGCCCACCCCCTGCCCTGCCCCTCCCCGCTGGAGGCCTGGGGAGTGGCAGCTACTCAGGTCTGGGAACTGCAAGCCACTGTCTGTCCACGAGGTGTCAGTGTGGGACCGGGCACTTGGGGGCAGAGAAGCCAGAAAGGCTTGGGGGGTGGGGGTGGGGGTGGCCGGTGGATGGGCCTGGAAGGAAGCAGGAAGCAGAGTCCCAAGGGCTGAGGTCGGGCCCAGGGGACCGTGTCATCCCATCTGCCTGCCTCTGGGGAAGATGGCCGAGTGGATGCCCGGCCTTCGGAGGCAGTGGCCTGGATACCAGTCCCACATGGAAGCTTTCGGTACCTTCAGAAATGGGCCTGAGGAGACTCATGCTCTAGAAGGAGAGACCCAGCGGCCTTGGTGCCGGCCTGGGTGGGAAGTGGGTCGTCCCAAGATTGAGAAGTCAGGGCCCAGCTTCCAAAAGCTGGGGCGGGCCCCTTTGTGGGTGTTGATTCTGAGCCGCTGCGCAAACCGGCCCCCCTCCCTCCCTCCCTCCCTCCTGGCCCACACAGCTTGTCGGGGCTGCAGAGGGGACTGTAGTTCCTGGAGCTCCGCAGGCGCATCAGGAGGATGGTCCCCCGTTCCTTGCGCTCGAGCTCCGAGTTACTGCGTGGTCGTGGTCGCGCACCGGTGCCCTCCAGGCAGCTGGAGAGGCTGCCAGCGCTCCTGCCGACATGCCCCCAGGGTTTGCAGAAGGGCTCCAGGTGCCCGGCCAGTGCAGTGCCCGCTTTCTGGGAGCTTTCAGAGTAGAGGGAAAGACAGGCACAGAGAAAGGAGCAGGGGGATGCGGGGCTGGCCTTTCCCACCCTCTCCTTCTGTGCCTCTGCTCCACGTGCCCACACTGCGCAGGCCTGGCCGACAACACCAATGACTTGGAGAAGCGCAGGCAGATCTACGGGCAGAACTTCATCCCTCCCAAGCAGCCCAAGACCTTCCTACAGCTGGTATGGGAGGCCCTGCAGGATGTGACCCTCATCATCCTGGAGGTGGCCGCCATCGTGTCCCTGGGCCTCTCGTTCTATGCGCCACCCGGAGAGGAGAGCGAAGGTGAGGGGCAGGGCTGGGAAGGGCGGTGAAGGGGGACCTGGTGGGCGGGCGCGGGACGCGGGTGGCAGCGCGGAGGTGCTGGCAGGAGGAGGGAAGGGATAGAGGCTGAGATGACGGCGGGAGCAAGGAGCTGGCGGAGGGACTTCTCTGCCACCTCTGCCCCTCCCTCCTGTCCTGGGCACAGCGTGCGGGAATGTGTCGGCTGGGGCAGAAGACGAAGGGGAGGCCGAGGCAGGCTGGATTGAGGGGGCCGCCATCCTGCTGTCTGTCATCTGCGTGGTCCTGGTCACGGCCTTCAACGACTGGAGCAAAGAGAGGCAGTTCCGGGGCCTGCAGAGCCGCATCGAACAGGAGCAGAAGTTCGCCGTCATCCGCGACGGGCAGCTCCTGCAGGTCCCGGTGGCTGCGCTGGTGGTAGGGGACATCGCCCAGGTCAAGTATGGTGAGCGCGCCCATCACCACCCACGCTGCGGAGGGGCTCAGCTCCCACGTCAGGGGCAGGCCTTCTCCGGGGAGCACGTGGGGCGGGAGGCTGCAGGCGGGCAGCTCGGGCAGCAGGCCCGGCGAAGACGGGGCGTGTCAGCGGCCTCAGCGCCCCAGGAGCAGGCTGTCCCCACAGCCTGTCGAGGGCCTCCCCAGCACGGCAGGGCGCTCCTGTGGGCCCCATTCCCTGGAAGACGGATGACGGGGCTAGGAGTGGGTGGGTACCCCCAGAAAGCAGAGCAAAGGAAGAGGGCCGCACACCCGGCAGGACCTCCTCTGGGGGAGATGGGAGGCAGCGTGGAGGAAGGCCTCCTGGACGCATGGTCTGTGGTTCTGGCCACCTGGCCGGCCTTAGGAGACCTGCTGCCCGCCGATGGCGTGCTCATCCAGGGCAACGACCTCAAGATTGACGAGAGCTCCCTGACGGGCGAGTCGGACCACGTGCGCAAGTCGGCTGACAAAGACCCCATGCTGCTGTCAGGTGAGCCCAGCGGGACCGGAGTCCCTGCTCCTGGAATGCCCGGGACAAAACCTGTAGGTGCTGAGCAAGCCACTCACCCAGCGGTGCAGATCTCTGTCTCAGTCTCTGTGCGTTGCTGTGCCAGGCACTCATGTCATGGAAGGTTCTGGAAGAATGGTGGTGACAGCCGTTGGTGTGAACTCCCAGACAGGCATCATCTTTACCTTACTTGGGGCTGGTGGAGAGGAGGAGAAAGAGAAGAAAGGTGAGGCAACAGTACCCTGCAGCTCCCAGTGCCGCCAGGCCTGTGGCCCTCGTACATAGCCGCGCTCTCTTCTGCACCTGCCTGGTGACGGCCCCTTGCTGGCCCAGTCCCTGGCTCTGGCACTGGGGAGGACCAGCCCTCAGCGGGTGGGAGGCCATACCCTGTCTCCTGATTCCTTTTGGAGACCCTTCTTCTGGGGTCTTTGCCCCAGAGCCAGCAGGTTGGGGGCCCCCCGTTTTGTGTGAGGCAGTTTCCCTCGGACGGCTCTTCGCCTAAGGCTTCGGGGGCATGGGTGCCAGGGTCGGGGGAGTGCCCTGCCTGGGTAGGAATGGGGTTGGAGGGGCAGGGACCAGCCACCCGGACTTGGGGGTGTTCAGCCCACATGGTGAGGCACTGAGGGCCCCAGGCCAATGTGGCAGCTAGGGGATCACAGGCCAGGCAGCCAGAGGTGGAGGGCTCCCAAGCAGAAAGGACTAGACACCCCAAAGGACATCCAGGGCCAGAGGAAGCTGAGATGGGGCCAGGGCCCTCACCCTAAGGGAAAGCAGTGTCGAGGGACAGATGTCTTCTGACGGCCCAGCTCTGTATTCACCCTGGCCTACCTGGCACACGGCTACCCAGCTGCCTCCTCTTGCCAGCGTCCCGACCCCAGGCGTGGCTGGTGCCCCCCACCCCCCGCTCCTCAGAACAGGGTTTACAAAGCTCTGGAGCTTGGCCAGCACCCCCCCCCCCCCGACCCCCATCCCAGTCAGGACCCCGATCCCTTCCACGACTCAGGCCTGCATCTGCTCACCTTGCTCTGGCCTGGGTCTCCCCTCAGGCCACTCCTGCCATCAAACCAGGTAAGGAATGACGTTTTCTAGATGTGCACCCCACCTCTGAGGGAAGCCACCTGGGCCCACTAGAAGTACAAAGACACGCACGAGTACGGGGAGACCGTGTGCCAGAAGCGTGCAGCCAGGGCCCTGGGGACAGGGCGTGCGGGTCACCAGCTCCGCCTCAGTCAGTCAAGGCTGCTGGGCCTGCAGTGCAGGCGGGATCGGTCTGCCCAGCCCAGTAACGTGAGGACAGGTCAGCGTAAGGAAAGACGCACCAGTGTCCCCAGACCTGGGCACACGAGGGAGGAAAAATGGATGAGCCGCTGTTGCCTAAAAGCCTCCATGGGCCCCGCCTCCTGGCAGCCTGGGCCTGGCTTCCCTTCCTGGACTCCTCCCTGCTCCTGGCCCACCCGGCCCACCCCTCACAGCCAATGGGCACCGGCGGACCTTCGGCCACCTTGGCCACACCAGGCCCCCCTCCCCGCAGGGCTCAGCCCGGTGTCTCGCCACAGTCAGCACCCTGGGGCCCACAGGAGGCCAAGTGGGTGGGTAGGCAGGCCCTGGGCCTCCTCTGGGCTGGACTGGAGTCCCTGGTGGCTGCTTGGCAGGACGCCTCTTCCACGTTCTTTCCCAGGCTCTTCCCCTCCCGCTAGGTTCCCTTAAATGTCACCGTCCTTCAGGGCTCGGTCCTAGGCCCCTTCTCTTCGACCTTGACAAGACCCCTCCAGGCGCTCCCCCCACCCCCGGCTCTCCCCCAGCCCCGGTTCCTCTCCCCCGCTGCTGTGCCACTTAAGAGTCAGAGGGGACACCAGCAGCAGCTGGGGCCCGGCAGGTGAGGCAGAGACGGCCAGCCTCCGGGGAGGAGGCAGCGGCACCCACGACCCCTCGCCTCCCCCACGTCTCCGCCAGGGCCCTGGCCGCTGCAGAGACCGGAAGGTGGCACCTCGCCCTCAGCATCCCCCCTCAACGCCCCCCGCCACCTCTCGATCTGTCCATCAAGGGCGCTGCTTGCCTGCCTGTCTCCTGCCTTCCGGCCTTGACCTCTTTCCCCACGCCTTCCCCTGCCTTAGCTATTCCCCTTCTCAGGCCAGGCCCAGCCCTCGTCTTCCCACCGTGCTCATCTCAAACCTCCCTCCCTCCTCCAGAAGTTGCCACGGCCCCAGGGCAACACGCCCACACTGTGCTGTACTGTCACCCACCGTGTGTCTACAGGTGTCTCCCCTGCCCCGCCCCAGAAGTCTCCTTCATCTATGAATGCCCCACAGGGCCCAACTGACACCCCACTGGGGCTGCGAGGGGACCTCTCCCTCCTCCCTGGGACCCCCAGACCAGACCCCACTGCCTGGGAGCCACCTGGCCTCCGGTCTGTGTCCCTGGGTCCCCAGTGACATGAGCTGTTGGGTCGTGGCTGACAAGCCGGCCCACTAGCCCTTCCTGTCCCAGGCTGGTCGTCTCTGGATCCAGGGCAGTGTGTGTGTGGCCTGCAGAGAGCTCTCCCGGCTGCTGCCCTGGGGCAGGTGAGGCAGGTGGAGCCGGGTGGCGGAGCCCGACCCCCAGCTCAGAGCCCGTCACCTGCCGGCTCTCCTGGGCCCTCCCAGAGTTGCAGTCCTTCCCGGCCTCAGAAACCAGAGGCATGGCCAGCACCGTTTACCTTGGCCTGGGGAAGCTGGTCACTGCCCCAGTGCCTAGCACCCAGCTGTGGGCTTTATGGTGGCAGAGCACGTCTGTGAAGGCGCACCCGCACAGCTCCCACTGGGTCCCAGCCCGGCCGGTGCCCCTGCCGCCCCCTCCAGCCCTGTGGGTGCCCTGAGGCTAGCCATCTCGCTCCTTTATCCTCTAAAGCGCCCACGGACTTGACTGCTGGCCATGCTGCACAGAAAGCTGATCTCTAGGCCACCAGGACTTAGGAACCATCTAGGTCAACCCCCTCGCACTGGTTCTGGGGGGAGCACCCATCCTGACTGGGGGGCCCTGTTTGAGGCAGCGGAGCTGGGACCCGACACCTGGCAGCTCTCATTGCCCGTGGTGCCGGCCCTTCCAGAAACCTCCCACTGCTGACCGTGCGTGAGCCAGGGTCTGTCCAGGGCTGGCCCGCGGCTTCTCTGGAGGGCTGGAGACCAGGCCCTCTTCCCCCGCCCGCCCCCCTCACTGCATTCGCTGGCTGCACTGTCTGTGCCCCGCTGTCCTGTGTGCGCGTGTGTGTGTGCCAAGGCCACGTGGGTGTTCTCAAGTCTCCGTGTCTGTCGTTCCTCTCCCGTTGTAGGCAAGCAGCAGGATGGGGCGATGGAGAGTAGCCAGACCAAAGGTAACGCACGTCCTGCGCTCAGGATGGGTGGCAGAGGGTGCGGCGCAGGGTGGGGGGTCGCCCGCCTCAGTTGCAGACCCCGCTGGAAGTGCGCAGATATGGCCCGTGAGCCAGCATCCTGCTGAGGAAACTGAGGCTCCAGAGCGGTGACTCACCCAAGACTTAATCGGGCCTGTGGGTTTCCTGGTTCAGCTGCCTTTCTGCTGAGCCTTCGAGGCCTGCGCCCCTTTCAGCCAGAATGCCTGGTGGGTGCCGATACTCTGTAGCCAGGGTGAAGGGTTGTAGGCGCTGGGAATCCAAAGATGGATAAAGTACGGTCCCGGCCCTCAGGAAGGTCACAATCCACAGACGTGAACCCAGGGGCAATACTCAAGTGCAGTGTGGGACCCAGGAGCGCAGGCAAACAACTGGGGTTCAGAGGCCGGCTGGGGTTGGCATGGCATTTGGGAGAGGAGGACAGTCCAATGGCCAGGGCCCCGGGCAGGGACAGGGAGTGGCAGTCAGTGGGGTGGAGGCTAGAGTGGCCCAGTGGGGTGGGACCTTGAGTGTTGCTGAGGCTGTGGCCCAAGGCCATGGAAAGAAGAGGCCACCGGTGAGTGGTCTCAGGCAGCCAAGGGGAGAAGGGATGGGCGGGGAGACAGAGAAAGAGGGAGCGGCTGACACTGCATGGTGGCAAGAAGCATGCAGAGGCACTGAGAGCCCCATTGGGTGGGGGGACAAGGACGAGTGACAGGGTTGGGTGCCCCCTGCGGGTGGGGGACGGATGAGATTACACGGGGCGGCGTGTGAGGCGGTGGACGGGCCAGAGGCGGGTGTGGGGCAGGGGACACAGCACCACCACGTTAGGGTCCCCCAAGGGGGCTGAGAGAGGGCTGCCGGTCCCGGAGAGGAGGTGGAGAGGCATCTGGGGGAGAGGAGGGAAGGCCCCAAGGCGAGAGGAAGGTGCAAGGCTTGCCCGCCAGCAGCCGGGGCGTGGGCTGAGGACTGCACGCATGCTGAGCTGGGGCCCCGACGGAAGTCCCGGCGTCCAGCGGAGGGCTGGCCAGCGGAGGGCTGGCAGGAGAGACAGCCTGAGCGGGGAGCCGGGGAGGGGAGTGCGGGGATTCCTGGGCCTCCCTGAGGGGAGAGGGAACGTGGCTAAGACAGCAGCGGGCAAGAGTCAGCTCTGGGTTCTGGAACATTCCATGGCCCCCAGGCCTCTGCTTTCAGGTATTGAGATTTGGGGCATTACAGGACTGGCCACGCTGTCTGTGTGCCCAAGTGCTTGTGTCTGTCCTCCCTTCCCCTGCGAGGCCCCAAGAGAAGCATCTCTGTCCTGCCCAGGACAGCGCTGCAGCCACTGCCCACCTCAGGAGGGCCTGGGCTGATGAGAGAGGGGGGAGAGGACAGAGCCCCCTGTTTCCTCTCGGATGGTGTGGCATATCTTTCTCCGTGAAAGCCCCTTGTAGCTGTCACCCCAGTGGCCAGGCCCTAACCTTGGCTGCGGGTTTCTTCTGTGTGCAGCTAAGAAGCAGGATGGGGCGGTTGCCATGGAGATGCAGCCCCTGAAGAGCGCAGAAGGGGGGGAGACGGAGGAGCGGGAAAAGAAGAAAGCCAACGTGCCCAAGAAGGAGAAGTCGGTCCTTCAGGGAAAGCTCACCAAACTGGCTGTGCAGATTGGGAAAGCAGGTGGGGGCAGCCGAGGGGGCGGCCCAGGGGCCCCCGACGGGCAGGGGCGGACACTGGGCTCCCGGACTCGAGGCCGGACCAAGGAGAACAAGTGGGAAAGGGATGCGACGTGGGGTGTGGGCCAGGCAGCAAGGGCCCTGGCTAGGAGCAGGCGATGGCCTTCAGGGCCTGGTTTCGCCCCCTCTGGCGAGCGTGGACTGCAAAGCTCCGTAAGGCCAGAGACAAGGAGCGCCTCCCCCGACTCGGGGTCAAGGGAATGTGGCTGCGGCGCCCCTTAGCTCTTCCCTCTTGCTGTCTCCCCCCTCCCTCTCCCCTGCCGGCCACCCTTCCCGCCTCCGCGCTCCGTGGCCTCTGGTGTGGCTGGGCAGGGCTGGTGATGTCCGCCGTCACCGTCATCATCCTGGCCCTCTACTTTGTGATTGAGACCTTCGTGGTGGATGGCCGGGCGTGGCTGGCAGAGTGCACACCTGTCTACGTGCAGTACTTTGTCAAGTTCTTCATCATCGGTGTCACTGTGCTGGTTGTGGCTGTCCCAGAGGGCCTGCCTCTTGCTGTCACCATCTCCTTAGCTTACTCTGTCAAGGTAATAAAATAAACACAACACGAATAAGAATTCCGTGATTCCAGGGTACAGACCCAGAACTTGGGGTGCAAAGCCGTTAAGCAACTTGGACGAAGCAAGGACTGGATAAAGTTTGGGACTGCTCAGGGGAAGAACAGGAAGCCGAGCAGGGATGCGGAGCTGGACTTGCACATCCTTGCCCACCTGGCTCCCTGGGCAGGGGGGTGTGACGAGCTAGCATCTGCAGGATGTGGGCAGGGTCGCCGAGGGGCCAGGGAGTTGAGGTGGGGGCAGGGGGAAAGGGGGCCCCTGGGAGACAGTGGGCAGGGCAGAGATCGGGGTGGGCAGGGGAGCCACAGGGCCTGCAGGTGACCCGAGAGGGGCCTCTGGGCAGCAGGGAGGCTCCAGCTGAGCTCCAGGGCGAGTGGCCACCCGGAGTCGACTGCTCGGCCTGTCTGATGAGAGTCCTTACGTCTCACAGGCCCGCTGCCTCGGTTTGACCACCACCCCACTGCCATCTGAGCTGTGCACCTGCTGCCCGAGGTCGCGGGCTGTTAGTGCTGCGAGGAAAGCTGGTGGGCGGAGCAGAATCCTACATGCCGTTATGCTCCCCCACCCCGCGAGGACAGCTGGCTACCCAAGCCTCCATCTGTGCCCTTTACAGAAAATGATGAGGGACAACAACCTGGTCCGCCACCTGGATGCCTGTGAGACCATGGGCAATGCCACGGCCATCTGCTCGGACAAGACAGGCACGCTCACCACCAACCGCATGACCGTGGTGCAGTCCTACCTCGGGGACACCCACTATAAAGAGGTTCCGGCCCCCAGCGCCCTGACCCCCAAGATCCTCGACCTCCTGGTCCACGCCATCTCCATCAACAGTGCCTACACCACCAAAATACTAGTGAGCTGGGAGCAAGGGCGGGCCGAGGCGGGGGTAGGATGAGGGGAGGGAACGTGGCCCGGCTATGGCGTGGGCGTCACCAGGGGCTTGCTAGGCTCTCTTAAGGACTTTTGAGCCGAGCCACAATCCTTCCTGGGGCGCTGGTCTCCCTCCTCATCCCCAGACACTGGGCGGGGCCTGCAGGTTCTGGAAGCCCTTCCCAGCCCAGTGAGTCGTGGAAAACCTGCCCATCTAGTCCGTACTGGCAGCCCTCCTTAGCTCCCTGCCACCACACCTGAAAGACATGGCGGCCGAGGCTGGGCTGGGCCCGGGGACAGTAAGGAGGGCGGCCTTGGGCCTCCAGGGCCATGCTGGTTCTCCTCACCTCGCAGCCTCCAGAGAAGGAAGGCGCCCTCCCACGCCAAGTGGGCAACAAGACGGAGTGCGCTCTGTTGGGCTTCGTCCTGGACCTGAAGCAGGACTTCCAGCCCGTGCGGGAGCAGATTCCTGAAGATAAGCTTTACAAAGTGTACACCTTCAACTCGGTCCGCAAGTCCATGAGCACAGTCATACGCATGCCCGACAGCGGCTTCCGCCTCTTTAGCAAGGGCGCCTCGGAGATCCTG